GTTCGGCGACTGGGGTGGGAGGATTTTACACTTTCGCTGCTTCACCATGTAGTTCTGGTTCGCTCTAGTGTGACTGTGAACTCTTGCGAAGCTGGACCAGCCACCATGGTATATTACATTCACATGTTATTTCACTGCTTTGTAAGAGTTTACAGCTTTCTTTACAATCTTTGGCTGGTAACTTTTCGTGGCTTCGCAAGATTTCACCGGTCCTACCTGATGGATCGACACGTTCATGGGGAGTAGCAGAAGTGCAAAATGGCCTCCATCGCCGAAGGGCGCTCTCTCGTTCCTGAAGGGCACTATGCCACCAAAGGGTAGCCACCATCTTTTTCAAATGAAGTGCGCTTCGCCCATCCTGGGTTAAGGAGTTAGAAGTGCATAATGGCGACAATTTCAACCTATTCCAATATTTCCTCGCAACGGACCGATCTTGTGGAACCTCGTGGAACTAGCGATTTGGCGTGGTCACTATTTCCGTTCAATTTCGTTGTTACGAAGTTGGTGGCCAATATCATTACTGAAAGGGTGAGTGGGTGGGTGACTGGGTGGGTGACCCTCCTGTAGGCGCTTGTCAGTGTGTGTATGTACCCTTATTTATATTTTCCTTTGTCTTTTTACAGTGCCTCACCTTGTAAGTCCTGTGATTCCTGTCGTGTACCCCAGGAAGATCTGTCGGGCTGCGTTCGCTGCAAGCGGCACGCCACTTCTCTATTTTCCTCCAAACCTTGACCAGTTTGTCATTTTGACAAACTTGACAGGAGTCTAAAGTATGCTTGACAGGTGATAACAAGCGTTACAGCGTTTGACAAGCTCGTCCGGCACTCATATGTCTGTAGTTTATAGGATTTGGTATGACGAGCGCTGTGTGGCAACCCGAAGACTATTGGCGCCCGAAGTTGTGTACCACCCTTATCGTTGAACCGCAGCTCTAAGCGAATATGTATGTTGGGTGACATGCACAACAGGGGACAAGTGAAATATTATCGGGTGAGAGAGACGGCGACCCTCACCCTACAAGAAGAGCCTTGATCGGGCCCCCTTTTATGATCCACATTACTAAATCTCCCCGTAATTTTGCCATGGCGAGGGAGGAGGACGTTGACTGTCAGAAATGGTGGTCAATAATGGCTAACCACGGATAGCCGTTATGCCTGGGAAACGTGGAAAATCGTCAGTCGAAATACCTCGAAGGCATAATCCCTCCCCACTGACAGCAAATACG